GCCATTCTTTTGTGTTCTGGGCAAAGAGGAGGGCCGCAGCTCATGCCCTAGGTCAGCAACTGGCTTTTCCTGTAGACCGGATTGCAATCAAGTGGTTCGGTTACTGAGGCGCCGGTTGGGGAGATGCATGTGGGGCTTTGTTTTGTTAATTGGCTATTGGGAGGATGCCATACTTTGTGGTCTTGCATGCCAGGGGTAATGATCTAGGGCTTGACCCTCAGCAGCAGCTTGTAAAATGGATGAAAGCCCCACTTGGGGATGTGGCCCCAGGGGTCTTAGTGGTGTGGTCAGAGATGGTTCCCCGTCTACGGTGGCAGTACGCAAGGAATCCTGGTATGCTTGCGAAGTGTCGGGGTAAAGTGAATAGTCTAATGGCCAGTTTCGTTAGGAAAGCTGGGGGTGTGGTGGTTAGGCACACGGAGCTAGCGGTTATGCTCCCGCTACCTTTCACCCTAATGGGGTTCACCTTTCAGATGTGGGTTGGGACCTGTTAAACTTGGGCTTTCAGGAAGGACTGAGTAGGGCCTTTTTTCTTCAGGGTGGCGGAGCTCAGACGGCTTAAGGGGTCAAGGTCTGACCTTGTGGCTGGGTTAGTGAGCTGAAGGTTAGGGTAAAACAGGCTCTTTATTAAGTACAGGGTAGTTATTCTGCTGTTTTAGAAGATGTTAACGGTTCATGTTAAGTTTGGTAGGTTTCGAGCTCTTCGGTAGCTCAGAACCTGGTGTGGTAGGGGTATCCGGGTATATATTTAATAAAGCTGTGGACTTTTTTGACCCATATAATATCAGTGTTCATGTCTTTTTGAGTGAATGATGGGGATTGTTTTTTTCACCAGCCCACATGGCGATGATGGGTCTGTCACGGAAACATTAATTTCTCTGCATAAACACCAGTCAGTCCCTCTGCATCATGCAGAGTGACTGTAAATATCCTCCCCTTGACCTCCTGCACTGTACTACTGTTCAAGAAACAGTGTTTCTGAATAGCGTGAAGACGAACTTATAGTTTACAGAATATTTTATAGCACATGTGAAAGCTGCTATAGCAGTGTACAACACCCTGAATAAGCCAAGCAATTTACTCTATGGGGACATTATGTCATATACACAAATATAGTCTTATTTTATATTTTATTGGCATTTACGTTATTTGCATACCATAAAATGGCAGCAGATTCCACACATTGTTTTAAGCAGGAAATGTGACAATGTATATATACACAGTATATTTCAATCTCATTTCATGTTCGAAGATATATTTTACCTTGTTACCCTTACAGAGGTATTCCTTAGAGTGAACCTGCAATGCACATTTTTACTTACCTTAAATCGCCCCCATATACATTGAATATACCTTATATTACAAAGATACATGATGTATTTAATGGAAAATTTCGAGACACCTTTAGCTCGCCTCTGTTTCAGCGCCGCCATCTTTAGAAATTCGTAAGCTCGTCCTCCAGTCCTCCTCCAGTCCTCTTTTATTTTCCCATCTTCAAGAAGGCAAACCTCTTTGAGACATCGACATGCTGACTTAATTGCGTCTGAATGAAGTGACATCAGTCACTCTATTCCTATACTCCACCGGCACAATTTTTATTGCAACAAACAGCGCATGTGCTGTGGTTGCTATGCATGGAGAGACACCTGTGGGTGGTCTTTTCTGCTCTTCCTTGTAGGTCAAGTCATCAGATTTGGCCAAGAGGTAGAAGAAAGGCCTATTTTTAAATAGGTTTTTCTGCCAATCTATACATCTACTGCTAGCACAATGTATATATGAAATTCCATGCGCTTTCTAAAAAAAGAATAAGTAATTTTAGGGAATGACGGGTACACTTTAAACAGAGAATGTGTGGACAATTGCAAATTATGGCTAACATAGCTGACCTGGCAAGATAGCTAGACATTTTATTCAGTCTGCCGATTTTGGTTTTGCAATTCCCCCCAAAAATTATTTTGTGAATAACCCTGGATTTTTTTATTTTTATTTAACTGTAGAAGAAGGGACACTCTAGTAATTTATAATTCCAGATAGCTCTGCCAGGTTCGGTTTCCAATAGGACACAGTATGCAGCTGTGTGCACCCAGAGAATAATAGTTTGCGTTAGAAGTGAGTGGGTAGGTTAAATTATGTCTATGCCCTGCCCAAATTGTGCCCTCACTCTATATCCCTTTTAATTCACCTCCCATAATGACTGAGCACTAAACATATTTTCGGATAGGTGGCTATACCTATTTACCTATAATATTGACTATGGGTGGTATGAGCTGGCCCTGGAGGTGGGTATCAAGAGCTATTACACTTAAGGAGTATCAGATACCGAGAGAAATCATTATCCCAACCGCAGGATAAATCATTGCTTCCGTCTAGTCTATCTTTCACTTCTGGAACAAAAGAGCCTGTGAACTAATTCTCAATTAAGCTAAACGCCATGCTAACTCCAGGAGCACCTAATTCATCATTCAATTTAAGGTGCCAGCAGGGTCTTATTTAAATGAACGACCAAGCATCGTTCAAATCTTTAATGAATCAAGAAACACGTTTTCCAAATCTTTAGTCTCCTGGTCTTTGTTGGAGTTTTTTTTTTCCAACCTTCCTGTTTTAGAGACACTGCTAATTAACGATAATGTGTTATGCTACTGATAATCAGGCTTCATAATAGATTTTTTTATTTTTTTTATTAATTTTATCTTTGCACGATGTCAGTTGAAAGTCAGAGTGCCAACAAACACCGTTATTTGAAAAAAGACCTTTTGAAGACACGTCACAATACATACAGTGTTCCGATATATTTTCTGGCTAACAACCTTGGAAAGTAACAGCCCGTTTACTGGTTTATTGGAGCAAAGTAATGTATTCTTTATAGCTCTGATGGAAGGAAAAGTAGAGAGCAAATGGACAATGGGAAATAGAAATAATCTATCACTGGGCCTGCTAGGTTCACTAATTGTATTACCCAGTGGTAAAGTGCTTGGAAAGGTGAAGCACAAGACATGGAACGAGCTCAGTCGGTAAAAAAACAAGATAAGTGCCTTAATGCAATCATTGACACATGAAGCCACTCGAGATGTCTGACACATCTACATGCAACCAGAGACGTGGAAATTCGGAAGCCTTCAATGAAATAGAATAATGTTCTACAACTATAGACATAACAGTAATTATTTAACTGGATAGATATATTTCTCATTTTCAGTTTTCAAGTCCTGGGATTTAGATGTTATTGCCCAAGTCAATGGTATTAATTTTATTGATTTTGGAAGGACAAAAGACTGAATTGCCTCTGCCGGGACATTCTGTAGCTGGTTCAGGAAGTGGAGCCAAGCCTGGTCCATTATTTGTTTTAATTAAAAGGGCTAAGCATATCCCATACATGTCTGCTGCACCAAGAATGTGTTTATCTGCTGTAGGCTTCCTGCTAAAAGCTGTGCAGCATTTCTTGGACATAGGCAGGAATATTGATTAAAGCATTGGATGGACTAGACAGAACGAGGGATTTCTTTGCACCATAACATATAGAGTGAGCTTAAAGAGTTATAGTCCTTTTTATTCTTATTTTTTATTTCCTTTTTATAATGAAAACAAGGCCGGTATGTTTTGAAATATTAATATAATGCAGTATTGCTGAAAAAAATAAAATAAAATAGATGGTTGAACATACAAGGGTTAGCAGGAAAAACTAATCTGAAGCTTGTATAGCCTTGTTCTCTGTGAGGGTTATATTGTAAGGGCCCAGCAAGATATTTATCACAGTAGAACACGCTCACTCGTGAAGACCTGCTGTAGCGGAACAGCCTTTGATTAAACTGTGTTAAATTAACAGCTACACAAACCAGCAACAAAGCCCACCTAGCAGTTCTTCCATTCATTATATCCAGCACCTCCGTAGGTTTCTAAAAGCTGTTCAGACACATTTAATGGGATTGTAGTAGGTGAAGCCTGCGACGCCGGGTCCCAACCAGCTCTGCATTGTAATGCTTTTTTATTGTATCATAAAAAAGGTTGCAAGGTAGCAGGCAGCGGGTGCAAGCAACAATGGACTCCGCTAGTAAATCAATGCAGGTCAATTTGTTAAAGGGCAGGAGGACTCGGGCGGTACGCAGATTTTCATGACTGTGAGGCTCTGGGGAGGCTTAAGGCATGCAGGCTGTGTTCACACTGTTAATGAGGCAGCTGTGCTGATCTAAGTGGATAGGTCAGGATCTGTATGCTAAGTAGGTCACTGGGTTAGGGAAGAAGTGTGATGGATTCAAGGTCAAAGGATGACGATCAAATTCTCCTGCATCCTATTGTCTTCCTGACGCAGCCCAATAAGCATTATTGAGCAATTAAGTAACAAAACAATGATACAGTAATGCAACCAGTTTAAAGGGACACTATCCCTTCCAGGGATTTTTATAGTTATGTTTACGTATCCACTGTATTTAACAGATATGTGTTTGTGACGCCTAAAAAATAAATGAAAATTTAAGAAACTAAGCTGATTTATTCAGCTCTATTCTACAATTGAGCGCCTCCATCTTGGCTCCCTGTCAATCATTATGATAAGCTCTGCTCTTTGCACCTGTCAATCAAGAGGAGGAGAAACAGGAACAATGTATCTATTTATGTTCCTCCAATGCACTGTGTGCCTTGCTGTGCCAGGATTGAACTGGCTTGCAATATAAACTTCTATATATTTAGTATACATCGAAATGCAAATGGTGCCTTTCATGAAAAAAGATAAGTGCACATTATATGCTATTTTCAATGTTTCATTCTAGAGAAGTTAGGCTTCTCCTTTACGTATATACAGGGAGTGCAGAATTATTAGGCAAGTTGTATTTTTGAGGATTAATTTTATTATTGAACAACAACCATGTTCTCAATGAACCCAAAAACTCATTAATATCAAAGCTGAATATTTTTGGAAGTAGTTTTTAGTTTGTTTTTAGTTTTAGCTATGTTAGGGGGATATCTGTGTGTGCAGGTGACTATTACTGTGCATAATTATTAGGCAACTTAACAAAAAACAAATATATACCCATTTCAATTATTTATTATTACCAGTGAAACCAATATAACATCTCAACATTCACAAATATACATTTCTGACATTCAAAAACAAAACAAAAACAAATCAGTGACCAATATAGCCACCTTTCTTTGCATGGACACTCAAAAGCCTGCCATCCATGGATTCTGTCAGTGTTTTGATCTGTTCACCATCAACATTGCGTGCAGCAGCAACCACAGCCTCCAGACACTGTTCAGAGAGGTGTACTGTTTTCCCTCCTTGTAAATCTCACATTTGATGATGGACCACAGGTTCTCAATGGGGTTCAGATCAGGTGAACAAGGAGGCCATGTCATTAGATTTTCTTCTTTTATACCCTTTCTTGCCAGCCACGCTGTGGAGTACTTGGACGCGTGTGATGGAGCATTGTCCTGCATGAAAATCATGTTTTTCTTGAAGGATGCAGACTTCTTCCTGTACCACTGCTTGAAGAAGGTGTCTTCCAGGAACTGGCAGTAGGACTGGGAGTTGAGCTTGACTCCATCCTCAACCCGAAAAGGCCCCACAAGCTCATCTTTGATGATACCAGCCCAAACCAGTACTCCACCTCCACCTTGCTGGCGTCTGAGTCGGACTGGAGCTCTCTGCCCTTTACCAATCCAGCCACGGGCCCATCCATCTGGCCCATCAAGACTCACTCTCATTTCATCAGTCCATAAAACCTTAGAAAAATCAGTCTTGAGATATTTCTTGGCCCAGTCTTGACGTTTCAGCTTGTGTGTCTTGTTCAGTGGTGGTCGTCTTTCAGCCTTTCTTACCTTGGCCATGTCTCTGAGTATTGCACACCTTGTGCTTTTGGGCACTCCAGTGATGTTGCAGCTCTGAAATATGGCCAAACTGGTGGCAAGTGGCATTGTGGCAGCTGCACGCTTGACTTTTCTCAGTTCATGGGCAGTTATTTTGCGCCTTGGTTTTTCCACACGCTTCTTGCGACCCTGTTGACTATTTTGAATGAAACGCTTGATTGTTCGATGATCACGCTTCAGAAGCTTTGCAATTTTAAGAGTGCTGCATCCCTCTGCAAGATATCTCACTATTTTTGACTTTTCTGAGCCTGTCAAGTCCTTCTTTTGACCCATTTTGCCAAAGGAAAGGAAGTTGCCTAATAATTATGCACACCTGATATAGGGTGTTGATGTCATTAGACCACACCCCTTCTCATTACAGAGATGCACATCACCTAATATGCTTAATTGGTAGTAAGCTTTCGAGCCTATACAGCTTGGAGTAAGACAACATGCATAAAGAGGATGATGTGGTCAGAATACTCATTTGCCTAATAATTCTGCACTCCCTGTAATGCATTTTAAGCTGGTCTGTATTTTTTTTCATCTAATGGAGTCTATAGATGAATGTCCGAGTGTGCCCAGATGTGTACGTTTTATGTACTTGATTAGCTAGATACAAGATGCACACCTTGTAATCGTATCTCCTTTCTTCATTACTTAGGGTCATATTCATCCAAGCCAAATAAGTGCTATTTTGGACTCGGAGTAAAGTACAAAAAAAATAACATATAATATATCAATATATCATTGTTTCCATGGTGATTGCTTGCCATATATCATCATTCCCCATAAAAGCAGCTGACTGTATCTGCCAGATAAATAAGCCCCAGTGCTCTTTACCTGTTATCCCACTAATATTAGACTGTAAGCTCTTTTGGTCAGACCTTTCTTATATATTCTCTCTGGTCACTTTAAATGATTTCTCACAATTTGAATATTTTGGCGCACTTTACATGAATCTTGTTTTCAGACATTCTAAAATCTATTAATTTGAGGGATTATTCACTAAACTGGCAATTGGTAAAAACTAACAAGGGCATTGCAAACTTTATGCCAAAGTAGATAAGCTGGAATTGGAAACTGATATTTTTTCATTATTTTGTATTTCAGCTAAAAGTTTGTACAGTCCTCGTCAAGTCTCCACAATGTTCAATTTAGAGACTTGTCCCCATTCTCCTATTACGCACAACTGGACACATCTACTCTCATGACCGGTGTATAGTCGCCATATGGGCAGTCGGAACCTAGGACAAAACCCCCACATACCTAACCCAATAACACACTGACACTAGGGTATATGGGTAAAATTGTCCACAGCTTTTATTAACCATTATATAAATAAATATAATAAGTTTATCATTAGTAATAACAATCATAACAATATAATAATAATTTAACATATAAATATGGGTCATTGCCCCCATACTCCGCCCTTGCATCCGCATCCTTCTTTTAATATAACGGGCAATGACCCCCAACATACTAACACATATATATATATCTTTAACAATTTGCAACCTTACTCCAACATAACAATTTAAGTGCCAACCATAAATAACCACGGCAGGGGTATACCCGGATACCCCTACCCCACCAGGTTCTGAGCCACCTCCAGGACTCGAAACCTACCAACCACCAGTGACCACAATTTCCATGTCCATGACGTTCCTCAGGGGAGCCTATTTCCTCTTCCTCGGCTCCCTATCCCGCCGCTGTGACAAAACGGGATACCATCCTTATCTCAAAAACCCAGGGAGGGTGGGTGGGACAAACTCAGCCAGGTAAGAAATTAAATGTGCTCTATCCAAAATGGCTGCCTACTTAAGTAGACCAACCCCTTTCTCCCACAATCCACCAGTCCTGGCTGGCTCCTCCTAAGCCCGCCTCCTAACCCCTGTCAAGGCCCTCCTCCGCTAAGCTGTGCTTTGGCTCCTTGGGGCTACAGGACTAATTCCAAAATTCAGGTCACTTGACAACTATGCCTTTTTCATGAGATTATTTTCTTTTACGGTCAGTTTGCAGGTTTTGCCTTTAAATGTATCCTTTTTTATTGTGTTTATCCTTTATTTTATTGTTTATCCTTATTTCTCCTTGTTTTTATTAATTTATTTAGTTGAATTAACCTTAAAAGAAGATGTCCGGAGTATTTGTTCTCATGGGGCGTGTGCAGGGCCAGATTAAGAGCCCAGTGGGCCTGGTGCTAACAATTATGACGGGCCTAATTACAGAATCATATCGACCAAAAACAGTAAAACACTCTCAAGCATCATATACCTGATGGAGATGGTGCTGGAGAGAAAGAAAACAGCAGCTATAAGAAAACACATACCCTTGGCTAATCACTCTCTAATTTATGTTTTCATCTTTCAAGTAAATCCATAACCCCTAACAGCAGTGTCCAATCAAGCAGGAAGTCAATGGGCACGGTAAAAGGGTGTGCCTCTGACACAAATCACGTAACCTGCCAAAAGGGGCGAACATGCCCAAAAAGAGGACATGTCTGCTCAAAGAATTAGAAGGCCAGCCTGGCATGAATGCATGTCAGGCTGCCTGCCAATCATGCAGCTGGCCAACTAAGGGCATACTATGCAGACAGCACCCTGAGCTTGGCATAAATGCATCTAATGATGCGCTCACTCAACGCTTTCTAAGGACTGTCCCCTAGCACTCGCTGGTCCACTTGTCTCCTTACCTTCTTACTAGCAGGCAGAAGCTCCTGGTATATGGTCTGGGACAGAGAAAAGCTGTATGTAGTGAGTGTAGAAGAAAGGGAACATGCCACAGTGTTAGAGAGACCAAAGTCAGCATTACCTTAAAGGATCACTATAGGGTCAGGAACACAAACATGAATTCATGACCCTATAGTGTTAACACCACCATCTAGCCCCCTGGGCCCCTCATGCCTCCATAAATATAGCAAAATCCTACTATATTCAAGCCTGAAGCATTTTAGGCAGCCATAAGCCAGGAAGGATCTCTAACAGTCATCTAAGGAGTGGCCAGTGAATTTATCACTAGGGTGTAATGTAAACACTGCATTTTCTCTGAAAAGACCATGCTTACAGCAAAAAGCCTGATGGTAATGATTCTACTCACCAGAACAAATTCAATAAGCTGTAGTTGTTCTGGTGACTATAGTGTCCCTTTAACTATATTCATTGTCAGCCAGTCCACACAAGTTTTGTTCCCATACATCCCTCTTAAGTTTCCATACTTAAGTAAGAGTATGTGAAAAGTAGTTAGGGTTGCCACCTTTCTTGGAAAAACATACCGGCCTTACTAATTTGCATAATTAAATATGTGTGGGTGACATCACATGATGTAAATCACAAGGAGTGACATAAGAGAAAATGCTGTAAAATCACCAAAAAACTACTTAGTTTAAATCTCCTGTATAAAAGGATTCCTCCCAGTGCCCCCATGTCTCCCAGTGCCCTCATGACTCAGTGCCCCCATGTGTCGATTACTCCAGGTCTCAGTGTTCCTATGTATCAGTGTCTCAGTGCCCCATGTCTCCCAGTGTCCCCTAGTGTCGTGTCCCCAGGTCTCCCAGTGATCCTATGTGTGACGAGACCAATCTCGCCACATTGCATTGGAGAAGCCTATTTGCCAGCCTCCTTCCACATGACTATGGCCCCTGGGAGATGGTGAAAACGTATGCACTTTTATTGGGTGTGTATGGCCCTTTAAGACAGTTAGTGGGCATATTGTGGCTTATGGACTCTTTATGGGACGGGTACTGGCACTTTAAACACCTTTTTGGGACATCAGGAAGATTGGGACACTGCCCCTTTAAGACGGTGTCCCCAGACTTGTTTGGGATACTGCCCCTTTAAGACGGTGTCCCCTGTGTCCCCAGACCTGGTTAAAACTCTTTGTGCCTCGCTATTTCCCACTTGGTTCAGTAAATGGGGCTTACTGAACCAAGTACCACACAGGCAGACCACCCAGAAGTGGAAGTGTGCAGGCAATTTACCTCCCAGAAGCTGGTTAACCGCAGCTTAATTGACAATGTTGGGTGGCCTTTGTTCGTTTACCGAACATGTGGCGGCGGCCATCTTTGTTAATGCGAACGAGGTCAGCGGTATGTGTAGCCAAATTCATGGAACTAAAATCGGCTACACATTTCCACGAACACCGCTGAACCCTACCTTCTCCCATACTGATTTTACAGCTGCAGAGACTAAGTCCCAATCGGCTATGGGACTTAATTGTTTTTTCAGCCTGAAATAGACCGACCGTACAGCCCAAATCTATGGAACTGTCATAAAGGGACCTCCAGCTAACTTTTTAACCCCTGGATGAATTTGGCTGATTTTTGATTATGTTTATGTTTAAAGTGTGCTGATTAATAATAAAAATAAAAATGTATTAATATTG